AAGGAACCAGCCAAGGAGGACCAAATATATACCAAATGGGTTCAGGAGAACTATTTGGTTATGACATGGCTGTGTAACTCCATGCARCCACATATCAKCYGAAATTATTTATGRGCAAAAACAGCTAAAGAAATTTGGGATATCATGAAAGGGGTAGGTACTCCCAACCCCTCAATGTTGCTAGGGCCTATGAATTAAAATGTAAGGTGAATAACCTTAAGCGAGAGGAGCCGGTCTCGGTTTATTATTCCACCTTGAAATCCTTGTGGCATGAGATTGATCACTTAGAAACAATTGAGTGGGAAAGCCAGAAGGATGCACAGACCTACAGAAAGTAGGTTGAAACCAATAAGGTATTTGAGTTTCTTGCTGGTCTGAATTTTGAGTATGACATTCTGAGACAATAGCTTCTAACAAGAGACGGTGTGACTCTATCACAAGCTTACTCTCTAGTGCATAGTGAAGAAAGTAGGAAGGAAAGTTATGTTACAGCATTCGCTACTTGAATCAGCCTTGGTAGCAACTAAACCTAAGTTTGGGGGGATAAGGAGAGAGATATGAAGAAGGAAGACAAGAAGGACCTAATATGTGAACATTGCAAGAAACCTAAGTATACCAAAGAAACCTGTTGGAAGCTACATCCTCATCTAGTTCCCGCAAAATTCAGGAACAAAAAGGGGAATGCTAATACAGCTGTTACTACTGATTGTGCAACCTCATCAGGCACAAGAGCAGCACCACTAGATACTCTAGCTGCTGTCCGAGCTGCCTTGACTCAGTTGGAAAAGGAGGTTGGTAATTCAACATCATCATCTCAGCCAGTTACAACATCAACTCCTCCCACCTTAGCATTTGCTCATTCAGGTACACGGGCCTCAGCTTATCATGCTTCAGCTCCAGGTAACACTGAACATTGTTGGGTAGTAGACTCAGGTGCATCTGATCATATGACTGGTTTGCCTTCACTATTTACTACCTATCACTTATCCTCTGGTAAAGACAAGGTGTCTATTGCTGATGGATCACTTGTTCCCATTTCTGGCAAAGGAGACATTAAGTTGTGTAGTGCCATTTCCCTGTCATCTGTTTTGCATGTTCCTAAACTTAGCATCAATTTACTTTTAGTTAGCAGCATTACTAAAAACCAGAATTGCTCAGTAATCTTTTTTCTTGATCGATGTGTTTTTCAAGACTTGGAGACAAGGAAGGTGATTGGAACTGGCCGTGAAACAAATGGAATCTATCTGCCTGGAGGAAGTTCACAGTGGGACTATAGTGAAGTTAGAGGGTCTTTTGTTTCTCAGTCTATTGGTCAAGTTATGTTTGGCATAACCGATTGGGTCATTTATCCTTTAGGTCTTTGAAAAACTTGTTTCCTAGTTTATTTGAATATATCCAGATGTCCAGTTTAAAGTGTGAAAGTTGTGAGCTTGCAAAGCATTGTAGAACAACCTATTCATTAAGTAATAAGAGAAGTAGTGTTCCTTTTGACATTGTGCATACCGATGTTTGGGGACCATATCACATCACTGCTATTGGGGGGGGGGGTACAGATACTTATTGCTGTTTGTTGATGATTACACATGGTTTTCTTGGGTCTACTTGATGCGTTCTCGAGATGAGGTCCCTACCCTAACCCAGACCTTTCATCAGATGATTTTAACCCAGTTTAGGGTAAAAATCAAAATTTTCAGATTCGATAATGCGAGAGAATATTTTAAAACATCACTAGCCTCTTATTTTCTTAACCATGGGATTTGTTGGGTTGAAGTCTTTGTATGTATGAGTATTCGGCTGATAAGAGTTCTTATTAGCCTATACTTTAAGTTGTCCTGTACTGGGCCTTTGTTAATGGGCCTAATCCTGTTTAATGTTTTAAGTTGTCTGGGTGTCCCATCACTAATCAGGGGCATTCCAGTAACTTCCTGTATCATTGTACTACATCATAATATAAATAATAGTA